CCCAGCGCTGGGTTATATTTAACCCAGCATTTTTTAGAGTGAAGCAATTCTGACTTTTTTTCTGATATAAACTCACAATTACGTGACAAAAGTGTCAGAATTATATAGAGATAAAAATTTTATAGAGATAAAAAAATCACGGAATAAGATTCCATAGCTTAAACTTATATGCTAACACATTAGCAGTCATTTTAAGGAATGAAAACCACTTCATGATGACACTAGGACTGACACAGACATGAAGAATGAACTCTACACTTGCATAATTTTCTTTTCTACAAATTTTCTTTCTTTTTAAAGAGGTTGACGGTGCGCCCGACACATCAGACACAAACAGTAAGATTCATATCACAGCCTTCCCTTTTGTTTGAGATGTATTTGAGTGAAGCATTGCCCAAACTAACAGCTCGACCCATTTCAGGTGACAAAAGCCTGGATGAAGCCACCAGCGGCCCAGATTCGATAGGTATAACCTGCACATCAGTTTCCTAAACACACAACAATGCAATGTGTCGTTTCGTACAAATATGAAAATGCATTTCTTAAAAATTTTACTCTCCATGTATGATTTCCATATAACGACCAATATATTAACAAGTATTTTTTTATAAAGACTATCTGATTAAAATACACAAAAGGCAAAGTGAATCCAAACTATAAAAGGCACGCATCCCATTCAAATATATAATTTCCTAACAATAGCAGGAGTAAATTGCAAAAACATGTATTTGTTATGCAGTTATATATTTGATTTAAATTTCTTTATCAGACACAACAGATACTGATAGTGACACAGAAAAAGACACAGACACAGATACTAATACAGAAACAGATGCATCACAGCAGAAGACAGGCGATTCAGGTGGGTGAAAGCCAAATATCTATTTTCATAAATACAGAATACACGTGTGCAAAATACCCTCAATGAAGGACTTTCCTTTATCTACTGCAGATGAGAACAACGAGAAACCATCAGCGGAGGACAGCAAAGGTATGAGAGATCACAGAAACAAACCAGAAGTCAGATCAGATAGATTGCCTCATAAGATGATGCCAAGTCGATTTAAATATGTTATATAATATTTCAGATGCAGATCATGTTGATACACATTCAAAAGAAGAGGAATCTACAGGTAAACAAACACACTTACTGAAAAAAAGACACATTTATGTGTGAATAATAAAAAGATTTTGTCATTATTTACCAATTGTTTAAAAGTTAACTAAAATTACAAATTGTATTGGTTTTAGTTTCTAAAAATATATATTTTTAAACGTTCTTGGTAATTGAAATAAAGCTGACATAAAATAAAATCTTGCA